AGTCACAGCAGCAGCGACAGATTCAGCTACAGACAAACATTTGCTGCTGCTGCAGCAACGGAAGACAGAGAAATAGTGCAACAGCAGCAGCAAAAGCAGCAGCAGCAGCGACAGCAACAGCAGTAACAGCAGCAGCAGCAACCGCAGCAGCAGCAACAGCAGCTACAGCAGCAACAGCAGCAGCAGCAAATCACCTGCAATGGTGGCAGCAAGCCTCAGTCTTCTGGCTGGGGATCGAGACAGCAGCTGCAGCAGCTGCAGCAGCAACGCTAGACAATTTGCTGTTGGTGCTGCTGCTGCTGCTGCTGCTGCTGTTGCTGCTGCTGCTGTTGCTGCTGCTGCTGCAGTTGCTGCTGCTGCATGCAGGGCCTCCTCCTCACCAACATAATGTAGAAACCAGCGAAGCGCGTTGCAGTTGCTCACGCGGATCGAGTGCTGCTGCTGCTGCTGCTGCTGCTGCTGCTGCTGCTGCTGCTGCTGCTGCTGCGGGCTCTTGCGGTGACCTTTGGGGCCCTTCGTAGACTGCGACAGCAGCAGATCCGTCAGCAGCAGGATGTCTTGCTGCTGCTGCTGCTGCTGCTGCTGCTGTTGCTGCTGCTGGCGCAATCGATGCCGAGACGGAGCGCTGCTGCTGCCGCTGCTGCTGCTGCTGCTGCTGCTGCTGCTGCTGCTGCTGCTGCGCAGCAGGCGCATGCAGAGGCTGTAGAGAGCTGTCTTCTTCTCAGCAGCAAAAGAGGGGGTCCTCAACCCCACCACCTAAACACATATCTAAACCCTAAACCCTAAACCCTAAACCCTAAACCCTAATCCCAGCAGCAACACTTGAACAGCAGCAGCAGCAGCAGCAGCAGCAGCAGCAGCAGCGGCAGCAGCAGCAGCAGGAGTTGTAAATACCTTCGCAAGGAGCAGCAGCAGCTGTGCTGCATGCAGTAGTAGAGAATCGGCAGTCTGCTGCAGCGCAGCATCATCCGCTGCTGCTGTTGCTGTTGCTGCTGCTGCTGCTGCTGCTGCTGCTGCTGCTGTTGCTGCTGCTTGCAGCTGTCTGCAGTATTCTCTTGCTGCTGCTGCTGGGTCCTTTGTTACAGCTTCGATAGAAAGCTGCTGCTCTGCTGGCAGCAGCAGCAGCTGCTGCTGTTGCTGCTGCTGCTGCTGCTGCTGCTGCTCCAGCTCGTCATCTTGCTGTACCCGGTCTGGCTGGTGCCGCTGCCGCTGCAGCAGCAGCAACTGCTGCTGCTGCTGCTGCTGCTGCTTGTGTTTGCTGCTGCGTGCTGCTGCAGCTTTTCTCTTTTTTGTG